GGTTCTTGCCACGGATACGCGGGGTACGGAAAGGGGTCGGGAGGGGTTGGATTGCAGAGGGCACAGGAGGCAGGGGGCGGAGGAGGGGGTTGGCAATGCATAAGCGCATTTTGGGTATTGGATTCGAGACACTGGGAGGGTTGGGATGGGGTGCGCGGGTCTCGCGTGCGGGGGGATTCCAAACATGGGGAGGGAGTTAGGTGGGTACACTGGACGCTGCGTGAATTGGATTCTTTGGCAGCTATCTAGGCAGTTAACGGAGAGGGGAGGGGGTGATGGCTGGGAAGGAGGAGGAGGTGTGCTTCTGGTTTTTGCCGCGACTTGTTGGGGTAAGGAAAATGTTAAACAACTGCTTGCTTCCAGAGTGCTCTTTTGGTAAGGATAGAAAGAAGCTCAAATGTTGCTTTGCAGGGAGGATTTCAAGACAGAGGAAGGAAAGGAAGCAAAAAAACATGTCAGGAACTCGAGACAGAAATGCAGACAGCAGTAAAGAGAAAGCGAAGCAGTAAAAAAAGCAAATTAAAGCAAGCCAGAACGCACAAATAAAATCAAAAAGGTGAACTTAAAGCAAGAAAAAAAGTAAAAGCAAACGAAAAACCCATCATCAGTGGGGGACTTCCCCATTTACAAAGCTGATGCTTAGGTAAAGCTGGAAGCGAATAAGGTGAAGCTGATGCTTAGGTAAAACTGAGAGCTCTCAGCTTTGTTAAGCTTCAGCTTCATAAATAGAGAAGTCTACTCACTACTCGTCCTTCCTTTCATAAGTTTAGGTTTTCTTTAACTCACTTTTCTTTGTACAGCTTTGTTGCCTCTTCCTGTTTACTGCTGTTTCCAATTCCCGCCTCGAACTCTTGAATATTGCCCTTGTTCCCCTTCTTTATCCTGCTCCCAAATCTCACTTGCCTGGCGGTATCTGGGCACTCATCACTACCACCCCAATCACTATCACCATTAATCATTTGAGACTCCTCACTAGCGTCCCAGCTTGCGTGGGTGCCGAGTTGAAATACCCGGACAGACGCACACACACACCCATACACACACACACACCTCGGTGTGTGTATGGGTGTGTGTGCGTCTGTCCGGGTATTTCAACTCGGCACCCACGCAAGCTCCGGCGCCAAAATTTTGCGAGTGGGTTCCACAGCCAAGTGCCACCCCAGGGCCGCGGTATCAATCCCCAAGCACGTCTAGGCCTCACGTACGAGCGCCTCAAAGTTTTGGCGGGAAAATCGCTAATTCAGGAACCAGAAAAGCTAGAAAGCTGAAATTTTGGGATTATGTACCACGTCCAAGTAGAACTCAAAGATTTCAAATTTAGCCCCCGGGGATGCGTGGTTCCCGCGTACGGCCCCGTGAGGGTTCCTGGCGCGAAAATCGCTAGATCGAGAGCCAAGAAAGCTGGGAGGCTGAAACTTTCAGGAAATGTTTCCAACTCATCTACATCTCAAATTTATCAAATTCAGCCCCCCCCCCTCCGTTATGCGTGATTGCCACGTACGGCCCCGTGAAATTTTATGGCTGGAATTTGGGTAACTCGGGAACTGAGAAAGCTGGGAACCTGGGATTTGAAGGGAATGTTCTCTGTCGAAGTATAGCTTGGATAATTAGCTTCCCGAAATTCGAGGACCAGTATGTATAAGAGGTTTCTAGCTAGTGGGATTTCGAGTGATCTTATTACAGCACGAAACACTGCAAAAACGCATGGTCGCACGGGTCCGCCCAGTGCGCGTCGTCAATAATTTTAAGATATTTCTTGCCGATGCTGTTGTTGAAAGCATTCATCGCGGTAAAATAAGCAAGAGAAAATGAAATTTTCCATAGCTGCACGAAACGTACTGGAAAAGAGTACTCGTGCACTTTCGGATGCAAAATAGCAGAACGCCCTGCTTGGCATTTCATATATGATCAGCGGGAGCGGTCCCAAACGAAGCTCATTTCCCAGCACATCCTTCCGGTAGCTGCTTTAACACAGTGCTAGGCAAAAATGAAGAATCGCTTCTCTTTCTAAAGAATAACGAAATGTTTGGACAAATGAATCTACAGAGTAAGGCCAAAGGAAACCCGCAAAAGCCTTGTGCATTCCTGCTGTAACGCCCCTCCCCCCCCACACCCTTATTCTGCAAGCACCCGTAACGCGCCGACATGTTCACGTTCGGCGGTTTTCTAAGCGAACTGGGCTATTACTTGGCTATGCGTAGATGGTCATCGAGGGCGAAAATAGCCTACTTCACCATGACTCGTTGCTCTCAGCCGGAGCATTTATCGGAGGATTCACGCAAAGATTACCCATAATCAAGGGATCCGCCAGAACATGTTGGTAAAGACTTTCAATTGGCAGCAATAAAACGCTGAAACCCCTAGTGCACTGGCAAAAAGCAC